GAGGCATCATTTCGGCACACCCCTCTCGAGGATCGTGGCTCTCGCCCCACAGGAAGCCCCACCGAGGCTTCATTCCGGCCCACCCCTCTCGAGGATCGTGGCCCTGGCCCCACAGGGAGCCCCACCGAGGCTTCATTTCGGCACACCCCTCTCGAGGATCGTGGCCCTGGCCCCACAGGGAGCCCCACCGAGCCTTCATTTCGGCACACCCCTCTCGAGGATCGTGGCCCTGGCCCCACAGAGAGCCCCACCGAGTCTTCATTTCGGCACACCCCTCTTGAGGATTGTGGCCCTGGCCCCACAGGGAGCCCCACCGAGGCTTCATTTCGGCACACCCCTCTCGAGGATCGTGGCCCTGGCCCCACAGGGAGCCCCACCGAGCCTTCATTTCGGCACACCCCTCTCGAGGATCGTGGCCCTGGCCCCACAAGGAGCCCCACCGAGGCTTCATGTCGGCATACACCTCTCGAGGATCGTGGCTCTGGCCCCACAGGGAGCCCCACCAAACGCGAACGGGAAACGGGAAACGTGGGGCCCCGCAGGGAGCCCACGTTTCCCGTTTCCCGTTTCCCTCCCCCCCCCCTGGGGCCTCCAGGTAACGTCCTTACGAGCAACAACAACAACAACAACAACAATCACTTTACCCGAACGCTCAGTGTTCTCACCAGTGCCAGGGTTTTCATGCGACGCCAGCCAATACCCCCACTTTGTGGGGGGGCAGTGCAAGCTCTACCAAATATCCACACGACTCTTCGCCACCACCCACACCCAGCTTCCCGCCCTATGACGTTCGGACACTTCACTTCGTGGCCTGCGGACGACCGTGGCTACTACACTGGCGTGGAGTACACACCCACAGAAGTTGTTAAGCCTACGTTCGTACACCCACAGAAGTTGTTAAGCCTTGTTAACCCACAGAAGTTGTTAAGCCTTCCACAGAACATCTGTTGCATATGATGCATATGGTACATGATACACATGATACACATGATACGTACTCACAAGATAGTTGATCACATCTTTAGGGCAAATTCCTGAGGGATGTGGGAATACACAAGAGAGAGAGGATATGGTTGTCCCGATGGTTGTCTCGATGGTTGTCCCGATGGTTGTCCTGATGGTTGTGGTTGTCCCGATCGTTGTCCCGATGGTTGTCCTGCGCGGTGCTAAAATTCTTAAGAACCCAATGGTTTTTGGAGATTTCGGCGTGCGCGCGCGAAGAAAAAACGAATGTGTCCCGCATGGTATTATTTGACAGGGATGATGGCCCTGGCAGGTGCGCAACCGTTGTCGCAGAAGTTCGAAAAAGTTGCTCGCAAAAGCCCGTTTGACAGAAATGTTTAAAAAGTGTTGGTTTTCCTACGAATCCGCAAGAGCGAATGTGTCCCGCATGGGATGATGGCCCTGGCAGGTGCGCAACCGTTTGCAGAAGTTCGAAAAAGTTGCTCGCAAAAGCCCGTTTGACAGAAATGTTTAAAAAGTGTTGGGTTTCCTACGAATCCGCAAGAGCGCGCGGGATTGACAATTTTTTGTTGAAAAACCATTTTTTTTTGATGTTTTTATGTTAAAATCGCTGCGAACACTAAGCTTTTGGAAGGATTTCGTCTTGCGCGCGCGAATGTCCACTTTACCTTATTTTTTGCAAGGGATTCTTGAAATTTGATTATATTAGAACAAGAAATGTCATTTTATAGTGTTTTTTGCAAGGGAAAGCGGGGGGGAACAAAACAACCGGATCTTGATCACATCGAATTACCTGAGGCTTCCTCACGAAAATGATGAAAATGTAGCTGCGGCCTAGGCGGCGCAGGGGGGCCGTGCACCAGGGGTCCCAACAATAATTATTCTTTAGAATTAATAATGTTCAACAACAACAATCATTTAGACTGGGGACACTCCGTTCTCACCAGTGCCAGGGTTTTCATAGGAGGCGGGCAATACCCCCACTTTGTGGGGGGGCCGGTTCAAGCTCTACCAAATTTCCATACGACTCTTCGCCACCACCCACACCCAGCTTCCCGCCCTATGACGTTCGGACACTTCACTTCGTGGCATGCGGACGACCGTGGCTACTATTCAGGGCCCCGCGGCCGACGACGACGGCGTGCGCGCGCGAAGAAAAAACGAATGTGTCCAATATGGTATTATTTGACAGGGATGATGGCCCTGACATGCGCGCAACCGTGGTTGCAGAAGTTCGAAGCACGTGAAAAAGTTGCTCGCAAGAGCCCGTTTGACAGAAATGTTGAAAAAATATTGGGTTTCCTCAGGAATCCGCAAGAGCGCGCAAGATGAATTGTTGAAACTTTTTTTTGAAAAACCGTTGGGTTTTTCATGTTTTTATGTTAAAATCGCTACGAAAACTAAGGTTTTGGAAGGATTTCATCTTGCGCGCGCGAGTGTGCACTTCGTGTCATTTTTTTCAAAGGATCCTTGAAGTTTGGTTATGTTAGAACAAGAAATTTCATTTTATAGTGTTTTTTGCAAGGGAAAGCGGGCGTCAACAAAACAACCGGATCTGGATGACATCGTTTTACCTGAGACTTCCTCACGAAAATGATGAAAATGTGGCTGCGGCCTAGGCGCGGGGGGGGGGGCGTGCACCAGGGGGCCCAACAATAATTATTCTTTAGAATTAATAATGTTCAACAACAACAACAACAACAAAAGAAAACGATGAGAAATTGTAGGCGGCCCGCGAGAATTTACTGGATCGACGCTGGGCACACCCTCCCTGGCGCCAGGTCGAGCGCCGATTCGAGAAATCTGCGTGGCCCTCCGCGAGATTATGCTTGTGTCGATCTGTTGATCCTCGATTACCCGAGATAACAGGCATCATTTTACGCTGCGTTTCAACATTTGGCAGAAAGGTGGGGGAAGGGAGGAGGTCTGGGTCTGGACCGGTGCTTAGTCGATCTGCGTCTACCAGTCGCGCAAGCTGACTGGGAGAGGGGTCCTGATCAGTCGCCAAAAGCAGCCGCCAAAAGCAGCGAAGATCTGGTTCGGAAGAGGGGGAGGAGGAGGGGGGCGAGGGGCTGCGCCGATCGGCGAACACGCAACATGACAAAAAAAGGGGCTCCGTATGGAGCGCACAGGGTATGTATGGAGCGCATTTTTTAACTCGCGGCCCTAACGGGCGTTATGGTGGGGAGGGTGGTGGGGGACGAGAAGGGGAATAACGTAGCGCCCGCCCCCCCCCCGAGACTGTGGTGCGGGACGCACTGCGGCAGTGCCAGGCCAGGGACGCACTGCGGGGGGAAGCGTCACGTGATGGGAGGGGGGAAGGGGGGGTGGAGAGAGGGTGGGGGGCATCACGCGCGCTGTGGCCCAGAGGATTTTTATGTCATATATATATATATACACACATATCTACACACAAAAGAGAGAGAGAGAGAGAGAGAGAGAACAAAAAAAAAAAAAAAAAAAAAAAAAAAAACATCGTGAGAAGGGAGTCTGGCGCGCCCGCTTCGGCGGCATCGACCTCCGGCACGCCCCTGCCTTCTCAGGGGCGGCGAGGCCAGGCCTGCCGGCATGTGGTGGTGCGACGGGGGATGGGGCGGCACGCCGTGGCGGCTCCAGAGCAGCGCCTGGGAGGACCAAGCCAGGGCGCCGATCTTCCGATCCTGGGGCAGGAGCAGGAGAGGAGGAGGAGGAGGAGGAGGAGGAGGAGGAGGAGGAGGAGGAGGAGCAGGAGGAGCAGGAGGAGGAGGAGGAGGAGGAGGAGGCGGGGGGTGCTCAGGAGCGGGTGCCAAGAGATGGGTTCTGGCCTGGCCTGGCCTTGGCCTTGCTTCTGAAGGTGGGCTGCAGGTGTTCTGGGTGGCTTGGGGTTGCTTGCGATCTGGGCGGAGTGGGCTCTGCCAACCTTGCGGAGCTATCTAACCTTAAGTCGGGCCTATCCCTCTGCAGGAGCAGGAGAGGAGGAGGAGGAGGAGGAGGAGGAGGAGGAGGAGGAGGACCAAGCGGCTACCTTCACGTTCCATTTGCGCTCCGCGTTCCAGGCCTCCAGATCCCCAAGCGGAAAGGATACTCGCCGCTGCGGAGGGGGAAGCAGCGCAGCGAGCCCAGACCCCTCCGACTGCGCTGTCAGACAAGGGCATGTCCGCCCCCTCCTCCGACCTGTCCAACACATCACCCTGCTGGCGACGATCACAGGCGAGCGCAGCGTCGCTCGCGCCGGGAACCCCAGAAATCTGGCGGCTCGCCCCTGGACCTCTCGACCCCTTCCCCTGGTCTGGATTTCCATCGCGGATCGTTTCTCGACGGCCCCGGGACCCGAAACAGATCCCCCAGAGGCCCGAGCGGAGGAGCAGCGGGCCGGCACTGCTTTTGGCGACGCCTGGAGCTGCAGGTCCTCAGAAATAGCACGCGTGACTGTTTCAAAGCGTGGCTCCCAAGAATTCTTGATCCCTTCGCTGGGACCAGATCTTCATCTTCACTTGCGGTTTAAGATGTTCGTCCCGACCCCATTTTTCATGATCCCGAGGCCCGATAACGGCACCCAGAGGCCGAAATCCAGAAAACTCCCGAACTGCAAAAGTTAGACCGCCGGAGATGGGTCCGAGTAGATGGGATCAGACGATCGCGCCGCGTCGCCGATGCACCGCCGATACATCGGCGATGCAACGGCGACGTCGGCGATGCATCGGCACCGTTTCCGTAGAGAAACTCGGGTTCCACATCGAGCCGCACCGCCGAAGCATCGGCGATGCGGCGCGCCCCTCCGAGCCCATCTGCTCGGACCCGATTTGGCAGGGTCTGTCAGAATCGAAATTGCAAATCGGATCGAATCGAAACGTGCATCGGAGCGGGCTGCATCGGCACGGCATCGAAATCGAATCGGACTGGCTGCGCCAGGATGAACAAGAGCGCCATGCAAGCATCGCGCCGCACCAGAGCGTCGGCAGGTCGGAATCGAATCGGACCCAGCTCTCCAGGATCAGCATCGAGTCGGATCGATCGGCTCAAAATTGGCCCTGCACTCGAGTGCCCCCGCCAGGGGCCAGCGAGGGGGCGGGACGCCCAGGCGGCCGAGGCAGCGCCAGCCCGGCAGAGCACACTGGGCCTCCTCCATCCTCTTCAGGATCTCGTCTTGCCTCAGGGTGGGGGGAGCACGGACCGACCGCTGAGACGAAGCCAGGACGAGGACTAAATCGGGGGAGGACAAATCGAGAATCTCTGAGATCTGGTGGCCGGAACGCTCTGGAACGGATTGATCCTCCCTGAGATCCTGGCGACTCAATTTTTTCGAGCTGGGCGTTTTCGCTCAATTTCGGGCCCCGGGACCCTCACAGATCGATCTGGCTCGAAAAATGAAGCAGAGAGATGGGGTCTGGGAGTCCGGTCGCGATTCTCTGTGATGCTGCCACTTTTTGTTTCGCCGTCGGATCTCAGGGCTCGTCCTAGCCTTAGGTCGGGCGAGTCCCTCTAGAGGCGGATTTTGGCCGAAAAAACAAAAAATAGTCCCAAAATACTTGAGAAAATATACCCCCCAAAAAAAATCCTCTGAAATAATCACAAAGTCGTCCCCTGACTATTCCTTGGCCATTTGGGAACATTCCTCCTGTAGGGGCCCGACTTAGTCCCAGCCCCGCCCGATGGCGGGAGCACGGGCCGACCGCCGCGCCCTCCCCGCGGGCCAGGTCCCGCCCCGGTGCGCGGGGCGGCCGAGCCGCCCGCCCGGCCAGCGGAGCTCCGCTGCACGACGACGACGACGACGACGACGACGACGAGGGAGGCTGGAAGCGACGAGGCAGGCAGGAAGAGAGGGATGTTGTGCTTTGCACTGCCTCCTCCTGCTCCTCCTCCCTCTCCTCCTCCTCCTCCTCCTCCTCCTCCTCCTCCTCCTCCTCCTCCTCCTCCTCCTCCTCCTCCTCCTCCTCCTCCTCCTCCTCCTCCTCCTCCTCCTGCTCCTCCTGCTCTCCCTGCTCCTCCTCCTCCTCCTCCTCCTCCTCCTCCTCCTCCTCCTCCTCCCCATCCTCGTCCTCCTCCTCTCCTCCTCCTCCCTCCTCCTCCTCCGCCTCCATCCTCACTCACTCCTTCTCCTCGAGGCTCCGTGAGGCTTCTCCTGGTCCTCGAGGCTCCTCCTCCTCCTCCTCCTCCTCCTCCTCCTCCTCCTCCTCCTCCTCCTTCTCCTTCTCCTCCTCCTCACCACCACCATAATCATGATCAGGATCCTGATCATGATTACCATTATGAACACCGGCAGAATCAGCATCATCATCATCATCATCATCATCATCATCATCATCATCATCATCATCAGCATCAGCATCATCATCATCACCACCACCACCACCATCATGATCAGCATCACCATCATCATCAGCAGCACCAGCAGCATCATAATCATCAGCAGCATCATCATCATCAGCAGCAGCGTCATCCTCATCATCATCATCATCATCATCATCATCATCATCATCATCATCATCATCATCATCATCATCATCATCATCATCATCATCATCATCTTCATCTTCATCACCATCATTATACGACACAGCCGCCGAATATGAGCCCGCAGAAATTCTTTTTTCATAGCAGGCATCTCCTTTGCTACGTTTCGAGGCAACACGATGCAGCCCCCCTGTGTCAACACCCCCGATGCGTGGCCCCGAGCGGGGCATTACGAGAACAATGGCTCTCTAAGGCGGACCGTTAATTTGTTCTACAAACAGTGCTGGCTCCAGATTGGTCCTGACACCGAGGGAAGAAAGGGGGATCGGCAGCAGCATCAGCATCATCGTCATCAACAGCAGCAGCAGCATCATCCCCATCCTCATCATCATCATCATCATCAGCAGCAGCATCATCATCACCATCGCCATCAGAATCATCTTCACCATCCACATTAGCAGCAGCAGCATGGTCACCGTCGTCGACATCATCAGCATCGTCAACATAAACGCCATCATCATCAGCAGCAGCATCATCATCATCGTCATCATCATCCTCATCATCATCATCATCATCAGCAGCATCATCATCATCATGGTCATCATCCTCATCCTCATCATCATCAGCATCATCACCACCATCACCATCATCATCATCAGCATCAGCATCACCATCAACAGCATCGCCATGGACATCTCCATCATCCGCATCGTTCCCATCATCGTCATTATCATCGCTATCATCATCACCATCATAACAAACACCATCATCATCGTCATCCACATTATCAGCGTAATCGCCAATACCATCATCATCAACAACATCATCATCGTCATCAGAAACAGCAGAAGCAGCAACATCAGCAGCATCAGCATCAACATTAGCATCATCAGCATCATCATCATCGGCAGCATCATCATCATTATTACTATCATCAGAATCGGCATCGTCATCATCAACATCAGCATCATCATTACCAGCATCATCATCATGATCATCATCATCACCATCATCGCCAGCATCATCACAATCATCAGCAGCAGCAGCTGCATCATGAACAAAACTGTATCATCATCATGGTCATCAGCAACAGCAGCGTCATCATAACCATCATCAACATCGTCATCATCATCATCACCATCATCATCATCGTCATCATCCACATTAGCAGCAGCAGCAGCAACATGATCACCGTGATCGTCATCATCAGCATCATCAAGATCAACCCCATCATCATCATCATCATCACCACCAACATCATCAGAAGCAGCAGCATCACCATTATCAGCATCGTCATGGACACCACCATCACCATCATCATCGTCATCAGCAGCATCATCGTCATTATCAGCGTCATCATCACTACCGTAAGCAGCATCATCATCGTCGGAATCAGCATAATCACCATCACCATCATCAGCATCACCAGCATCATCACAATGATCAGCAGCAGCAGCTGCATCGTAATCACAATCGTAAGCATAATCAGAATCATCAACATCAGCATCATCAGTATCACCATCATCAGCAGTATCATTACCGCCGCCGCCGTCAGCAGCAGCAGCAACATCATCATCGTCATCGTCAGCGTCAACATCATCAGCATCATCAGCCTCATCATCATCAGCATCATCACCATCATCACCGTCATCAGCAGCAACAGCAGCAGCAGCGGCGGCGGCGGCATCCCACACCTTCCTGCTGCTCCTCCTTCACCGTTTCCTCGTCCTACTCTCCCTACTCCCCCTCCCTGTCCATCCCTTTACACTATCCCACACCTCTTCCCCCACCCTCATTCTTCTCCGGCTGGCACGCGCAGGGAGGGAGAAGCCTCGAGGACCAGGAGGAGGAAGAGAACTGACGCTGTAATCGATGTGGATAAAAAGGAGGCGGAGGCGGCGGCGGCGGAGTAGGAACACGCTCGGCCAAGGGAACAGGGTTTCCCTGAGGAGGAGGATGAAAAGAAGAAGATGAAGAAGAAGAAGAAGAAGGAGGAGAAAAAAGAAGAATGAATTCGCGGGACTCGAAACTAGAGAGGAGAAGGGGGAGGGGGAGGAGGGGGAGGAGGAGAAGGAGGGAAGGAGGGAGGGAGGAGGAGGAGGACTGTCTCGGCTGTATCAGTAGGGGGTACAGACTGTCGGGCGCACGCGAACATGGATTACGTATCCGTGGATCTTGCGCGTGGGCGCCAGCTTCACGAAACAATCACCCCAAAACATGAAGCCAGTGCTGCCTGAATTGGCGACGGAGCGCATCGATGTTGGATGGAAACGAAGCCTCTCGCTGATTCACCCGCCTGATGCCATGCTTGCGATTCCTCGAGAACGACCGACTCGAATGACATGCTTGTACTTTTGTGTGCCTCCCTTGGAGGCGCACGTCCGACGGGAACCTATAGTACAGCGATGTTGTGGGTATGTTGTTACCCAAACGGTACGGCTGGCAAGCGACCGCCACGGAGCTCATACCACACGGTTTAGCAGTGCGCGCGTCGGCTCTGTGGGGCCAATGCGCACACAGTAGATGTATGCCTGAGTGTTGCTGACAATAGGGCGACAGCGGACCGCCGTCACGGTAAGCCGT